CTTATTTTATTTTGTAGTTTTTGTTGTAGTGCATGCACTACTTTGAAGGTGAACCATCATTGTTATCAGATCCTAAATTTAAATGTATATACATAAGTAAACTCAAAGAAAGATGGAAAGCTAACTAATAGGAGCTTTATTGTTTAAAATAGATCCTATAGTGGCACTCATAGACTAGATAGCCTCACTGATAAAATAATTTAATGATTTTGTAGCCAGTTCTTTACACTAACCTTAAGTACATTATTAACTTTATCAAACAAGACATGTGAGGATTGAGTTCCAAGCTGGTAATCCCTTTACTTAACCACATCTAGAGCAAGCTAATTATATAATAAATCAATAACAACTCAACTTGTATTCCAATTTTTATAATCTATGGTGGAGCAACCTTAACAATTCTGTGGTAGAGTGGTTACTCTCTTCAACATCCTTTACATAGAATAATGCATCATGATTGGCACAATGGACTACCAAACACCCATCAACAAATTTTATATATGACTACCCATCACTAGCAGACCTCTCTCATACATATACACTCAATCTCTCAACACAACATCATAAAATCTCTAAAAAAAATATGAGAAAATGAAGAAACAGAGAAAAAAAAAACATAATCTTCCTCCCTCCAAATATTTCTCTAAATCTTAGAGGCTTCACCCTCAAAGCCAAAGGTGCATCTATCATGACCAAGAAAATTCATATACTTAGATATTACCTTAAAAGTTCATAATAGGAATAAAAACTCTCCAAATCTGTCAAATTGTGAAATCAGAAGGTTTAGAGCGCACATGCGGGTGTGGGTGCAAGCATATGTCCACACGAGTTCAAGTGAAGTTCGGGTGTGCTCATATGCACGCATGGGCTCTTTAGGGAAGCATGGGTGTGCACAGACGTTGTCAAGGGGACACAAATACGCACCCATGGATGCTGGAGGCATGGACCAGTGGGCATGGAAGGAGGTTGCATAAGCATGCATGAAAGTAGGGTGAAAATGTGTACACACGAGGCTGGGGGCATGTGCAAGCAGACGTGGAAGGCACTTGCGGAGGTTTGCGTAGGAGTGAGGTGCATGGTTGTGGTTTCTTGCAAATGCATGCACATATGGCGCTGAAGGCACCCACACAAATGCAGTAGATGGGGAGCGCAAGTGCGCGCACACATGTGCACATTAGTGTGCACATGTTAGTGCAGGTGCACACGTGCACGTAAATACTTGTTTGCTTGTCTGAAATCCATATTTTCTTTATTTATTTTGCTCCTCACTTTAACTTTTTTCCTCCACCAAGTGACATAAACTCTGTATCCTGCACATCACAACAAAAATATAATTTTGAAGGATAATATGATAGTAAATAAGAGAGATAACATAGTATTTAATGTAATTAAATCATGTAAATTTATCTCTTATTAGAAAACATAAATATAGTCTATAAAGGGTCAGATTATTTCATCCACTAATCTTATGAATGTACTTGGTGCATTAAATAATTTTAAAAACATAATGTGCCATTCATAAATGCCTTCACAAGTCTTGAGTGCAGTCTTCCACTCTTCTCCATCATGGATTTAAATTTGATGATAGGCACTATGAAGGTATAATTTGAAAATGAGAGTGGATCCACTAAATCTGTATAATAATTTTTCTAACCATCGCATTAGAAAGTCAAACTTGATGGTGTTTTTGTTGATTGTTTGATTATCTATGCACATATGACATTTAACATACTTTTTTGAAGCAATGAGATTAGGAATAGCACATGGGCAATTATTATATATTACAAGATGTTTTATTAAGAGATCACATATAATTTATTGTAATATTTGATGTTTTGTTGGGTTCATCTTGTAGTTGGGCTAGTATTGAAGATTTTATCCTAGGATTAAATATATTTGGTGTTGAATGGAACTGTTGAATCCTTTTAGGATGTAGAGTATAGTATTTTTTTTTGGGCTAACACATCCCGGAAGAGGTCTATGTAAGAACGGGGAAGGAAGAAGATGGTTGTGTTCTATAGGCCTAAACTATGAGTTCAGTTTTTAGTTCCTCCTATGATAGAGCGTAGAAGATGATCTAATGAGAGGAGGGGGAAAAAGTGGTCCCGTAAAAATGACAGTGGGATAAAAAAAAGGGTCAAAGTGTTTATCCCTTATGTACTCTCTCCCCCCTTATACATATTTAAGAGAATATTATAATATAAGTCATAAAGTATAAAATCTGTCCACAGTGTCTCATTGAAATGATTAGGAAGTTTGTGTTAAACAGTTAAAAAGATGAGGATGTGGCATAAGCCAATTCTTGATGTCAGTCTTAACTTTTGTGTTTGTATAGTTACGAGGATCATTGATGAGGAAAGCTAGGCTGATGAACCTAATTGATCAGTTCAGTAGGTCGAATAGGTAGATTAGTGTGGCTAATCAATTCTTTAAGTCAGTTTGATAGGTTAACTTAAAAGATGGAGAAGGGCAGCATCCACATAGATGAGCCCTTCAAGCCCATGAGGCCTGATGAGTATATTCTTCAATTCAAGAAAGCCAACATTTGGTGCATAGAAAATTAATAAAAGCAATTGGCTCAACAAATACGTTGGGCAACATTAGCTATCTAAGAAAGTTAGATTGTTGGTTGTTTGCTCGATCGCCATTACGCTCTTCCACTTTATACTCTATTAGATGCTAGGATTCAGAGCTACTGAGATAAGCATCTTTCTCCTCTATATTATTCAATGTATTTGTATGGGCAACGATCTAATTTTATATCTATTCCATCGAGTAGTATAATCATTTGCACTATAATCATATCAATCTCTCACATCAAACTACCATGGCCTTCACAAAATAATGTGACACAGAGAGTTAAATAGCTTTCTTCCTTGTAATCTTTGATGTGTTGGTATGGGCAACAATCTAATGTTCTTTCCCATCCAATGAATAGTATAAGCATTTTCACAATAATCTTATCAAGCTCCTACATCAAACTACCATGGCCTTCACAAAATACTGTGACACTCTCCTTGGATAGCTTCCTTAAGTCCCCCAATGTAGCAAGAAAATAATTATTGGTTGGATTCATTTAAGTTGTTGCGGGTGCTCAAACTAAACTCTTCCATATGTTTCCTTAATGTCTGATTCCTAAGTGAATAGCATTGATACTACAAATATGACATTTAATCATAGTTAGATGGATGTGGATGTGGAGGAGTTGTTTCATTCTTATCCAATTCCTAACATTTCCTTCTTCTTCGCACTGCCTGGATTGTATTAGTTGCAGCCACCATACTTCTACACTACTTTTTAACTTGCAGGCAAAATATCAAACCTACTGCTGAGGTGGAGATGACCAACGGTAATTTCCCCCTGCCCGTCATTTATGTCTGTGATACCAATTTAATGCATCTTCCCAAATTCAACTAAATGAAATGGACCAACTAGGAACAATTTCAAACTATAATAAACCCAACCTCTAGTTAGTGGAGAATAATCTAATAAGCCTGCACACTCCATTACAGGTAATGATACATATGATACTAATGAAGCACTAATACTTAACAAAAACATCATCACTGTAGGCTTGGCATGTAAAATATTGTTTAAGAAGATGAAGATGAAACAATTAGTTATATAACCACATAATTATTTAAATTTAGATTGTAGCTTCATCAAACGTGTTTTTGTCGTTTTGGCCTAACTTTTCAAACCACCGACGATCCGTGTTGATTCTTTTGATCATGCATCATTTTTTCAGCATTTAAGTTATTTAATAACATCGAACATGAATGAGCTTTAGCTCATTAGATTCCTCAATGCTCTATTTTATAATAAGCATGTCAAATTTTGGAGTTTATAGGTCCTCCGATTAATTTTTCAAAATTTTCAAATACTTGCAATGTTTAATTTGGGCTCAATTGAATTCAGGTTACTTACTCATGTTCATTTTGGTGCGTCTTGCTGAAATGCTCAATTTAACTATAAATTACTTAAAAATAGGTCCCCCGCTTCATCTTGAATTTAAAATTGGAATCTTTCTTATTGCTCAAAATGTTTGAGATTCTTGTTTGATAATAAAAGTTTAGTGATTATTTATATATATATATATATATAATAGACCCCAAAATTTGATTTATTAGTTTATTTTTTTAGTTGGACATGATGGATTTGGATCAATCAACCATCTAATGTCTTCTTGATTTAATCCAATATTTTTATGAATAATTAAAAGAACAATTAAAGTTTGTTGGATGAGGCGACTAGAAAGCGCAGGGTGGAGATTTACTAGAAAGTTAATAAAGATAAGACGGAGGGAGCATTTATTTTCTTCTCTTACACTTGTTCTTTTCTTTCCTTGCTAATGAAGGAAAAAAAGTGTCCGGACGTATGAAATGAATCATGTGTTTCACCTTTTTCACAGAAATGAAGTAACCTTCGCCGTAATTTCCATTACTGCACATACTGCTATTTGTCGATTATTAACATCTAAAGTATCCAGCTTAGTAAACAAGCTTTTGGTTTAGGCCAAATCAGCTAACGCATTGTCTACTTTTGATGAATATATATACTTTTGATGAATATATATATGTATAAAATACAAATAATACATGAACTATACGTTTCAAACTTTTAAATATGCGCATTTTTACACCCTTGAAAAGATATATTAACGTCATGAATTGGTTTATCTATACTGCATTATACGGCCATAAATAGCAAATTTAATGAACATAACAATGTCATTGATCTTACAAACATTGATATTTTCAAAAATATAAGAGGTAAAGATCATCCCAAACATTGATATTTTCAAATTAATCATCCAAATAATTTAACAAAATACTATGAGTTTTTGTACTTGTGTAAGAATTTGCAATATGGATGAAAGAGGGTGATTGATTTGTACATAACATGCTTCGGGTTGTCTTAGACTAAAAACGTGTTCCGGGGGGTCTAAATGCAAACGTGCGGCCTTGGCTTTCTTCCTCTTTGTCAAACTAGCCCACGAGAGTGAGAGAGAGAGAGAGAGATGAGACCAAAGAGCAGCTTATCAAGCTCCGACGGATTCCAGCCATGGCAATCTCCAATACCTTATCTCTTTGGAGGACTGGCAGCAATGATGGTGCTCATTGCCGTGGCACTCATACTTCTTGCCTGTTACCAACACAGATCATTGGCCGTGGAGAGCCGGCAGCCGGCGAGCCGGCCAGAGAAGTCTGAGATTTCTACGACGGAGATGGAGCGGGGAGTGGTGGTTATCATGGCCGGAGATGAACTGCCTACTTACTTGGCAAATCCACTGTCTGCCATATCTACTAGCTCTTCACGATAGATATTGTAAAATAGTGAGTTTGTGCATTTTGTTACTTGTTTTTTCAGTTGAGTTTTTGTTTGCCGGGTAAATTTTGTGCTGCATGCTGTATTTTTACTCTGATAGATTGAGCTTTAACTCTTTTGATTTAGTAACATGCATTTGTTTTGCGTCATGTGTGAGATGATGAATCTTATAGTTCTGAGAATTTTTGGAAAATTTAGGATTAGATGATCAGACTGATCTTCTTTTAAAGTGGGTTGAAATCAACTTGGCCCAAGCAAACATGGGGTGAAGGCGTATTTTGATTAAGAGAAATTTTCAAGTTTATAATTATATTGTTCAAAATATTTTGAGAATTTTATTACACTTTACTTGCTTTAAATTTTTATTTTCGAGGAGATTGATGCGCGGTCAAGAAATTTTAGCATTTAACATGAATCACGAGATATTTTTTTGCAAGAAATGTTACGGATTCAAATTAATGATTAAGACCTCAATTTCAATAAGTTTGTAGTCAAACTAAGCATCTCGATAGAACAAACTTAGTGATTCCAAAATTATTCCAATCAACTACATGTCAAGCCATTAAAGCACATTTACAGGTTTAGGATGTTCAATTGAATGGTTGAATGAACTCCAAATTTGATATATATTCAAATCAAGAGTCTCGGCGAAAAAAATTCAACGAGCATAAGCTCGCTTAATTTTAAGGTTTTAGGGCCATCAATTTATTAAAAAAACTCAATGATTCAAGGGGATCAATGTGAGTCATTTGATCAGGTCGCTGGGAAAGTTATTGGCCAAAAGACCAAAATACCCCTACCTCAAAGGCTATGATTTTTCCCCCTCTTCACTTGAGAGAGGTGGACAAGAAGCAAAATTTCAGTGTTGTTTTGGACTAAAGACTCGGTGATGACATCCGACCTTCATAAATGTCATCTACCGTCGACCACCGCTCGCCAGCCACCCCCTCCTCATTATAAAATAACAAAGTTGTAGACAACGCGTTAGTGGATTTGGCCTAAACCAAATAGCCGCCAGCCGGCGAGCCGGCCAGAGAAGTCTGAGATTTCTACGACGGAGATGGAGCGGGGAGTGGTGGTTATCATGGCCGGAGATGAACTGCCTACTTACTTGGCAAATCCACTGTCTGCCATATCTACTAGCTCTTCACGATAGATATTGTAAAATAGTGAGTTTGTGCATTTTGTTACTTGTTTTTTCAGTTGAGTTTTTGTTTGCCGGGTAAATTTTGTGCTGCATGCTGTATTTTTACTCTGATAGATTGAGCTTTAACTCTTTTGATTTAGTAACATGCATTTGTTTTGCGTCATGTGTGAGATGATGAATCTTATAGTTCTGAGAATTTTTGGAAAATTTAGGATTAGATGATAAGACTGATCTTCTTTTGAAGTGGGTTGAAATCAGCTTGGCCCAAGCAAACATGGGGTAAAGGCCTATTTTGATTAAGAGAGGTTTTCAATTTTATAATTATATTGTTCAAAATATTTTGAGAATTTTATTACACTTTACTTGCTTTAAATTTTTATTTTCGAGGAGATTGATGCGCGGTCAAGAAATTTTAGCATTTAACATGAATCACGAGATATTTTTTTGCAAGAAATGTTACGGATTCAAATTAATGATTAAGACCTCAATTTCAATAAGTTTGTAGTCAAACTAAGCATCTCGATAGAACAAACTTAGTGATTCCAAAATTATTCCAATCAACTACATGTCAAGCCATTAAAGCACATTTACAGGTTTAGGATGTTCAATTGAATGGTTGAATGAACTCCAAATTTGATATATATTCAAATCAAGAGTCTCGGCGAAAAAAATTCAACGAGCATAAGCTCGCTTAATTTTAAGGTTTTAGGGCCATCAATTTATTAAAAAAACTCAATGATTCAAGGGGATCAATGTGAGTCATTTGATCAGGTCGCTGGGAAAGTTATTGGCCAAAAGACCAAAATACCCCTACCTCAAAGGCTATGATTTTTCCCCCTCTTCACTTGAGAGAGGTGGACAAGAAGCAAAATTTCAGTGTTGTTTTGGACTAAAGACTCGGTGATGACATCCGACCTTCATAAATGTCATCTACCGTCGACCACCGCTCGCCAGCCACCCCCTCCTCATTATAAAATAACAAAGTTGTAGACAACGCGTTAGTGGATTTGGCCTAAACCAAATGCTTGTTTACTAAGCTTGATGCTTTAGATTTTAATAATCGATAAATAGCAGCGTAAATGCTATTTGTCGATAAGTCAAATTCTTTGATCAGCAAGGAAAGAAAAGAAATAAGTGTAAGAGAAGAAAATAAATGCTCCCTCAGTCTTATCTTTATTAACTTTCTAGGAATCTCCACCCCGCGCCTTCGAGTCGCCTCATCCAACAAACTTTACATAAAGCAACTATTATTAATGAATTGTGCTCATGTGAACTGCCCAGAGGTGATGTTTGAGTATTCGGCAGGAGGTTTCTAGCAAAAGATAAAAATGATATTAGATGGTTGATTGATCCAAATCGACTATGTTCAACAATAAAAATAAAATAAATAAATTAAAATTTGTGGTTTTCTTCATAAATTAAGGGTGTCAATGAGTCGAACACGAGTTGAGCCTTGTTCGGCTCGTTTATATTTCGAGTTCAAAAGGTGTGTTCGTGCTCAGCTCGTTTGCTTTACGAACCGAACATGAGTCGTTCAGAAACAAGAAGTCATTTTGACAACCCTAATCATGTAGCTATAAGATGTTAAGGAATGGGACAATATTTAAAAGTTATTGTTTATATTAAAACATTATTTGAATCTAATTTAATAATTTTTATTCTGTTTTCTTAATTAATACTTTTAATTGGTTATAAATCTCTATAGCCTTGAACTATATATATATATATATATATTGGGTGGGTGGCGGGGTCACTTAGGTCTGTTGGTGGCGGGGTCACTTAGGTCCCCTCAAGTCAAGAGTTTGATCCCACCGTGGCGCGGGGACTCTAGAATTTTAGGCACTTGGCACGAGCTCTAATCATGGGGCTAAAAAACGTATGAGAAATGTGTGAGGAGAGTTAGTTGATTGGCCGCTGGAAGTGAGAGTGTAATGGATGTAGGGGTTAGTGTAAGGGGTGAGGGCTACTATGAGGTAGTAAGTGTTGGTGGCAATAGCGATTGAGTTAAGTTTTTGTAAAGGAGTGTTGTATCATTGAAGTTGACTTGGCGGTTGACTAAGATTTTGCCTAAATGGGGATTATAAAAATGATGTCATTTGCGATTAGAAGAATAATGGGGAAATACACAAGCAGTGGAATGATGTTGAAAGATCTTGTAAATAATTATGATTATATTTCATACATTTGTTGTAAGTCTATATTTAGAGAGTTATAAATTGTACGAGAGAACTTAGGAATCTCTATCTACTTCCTATTTATTTCTCTCTTTAATTAGAGAGATTAGCTACCTCTTATATTTGTTATTATTCATTTCCTTGTCTACTGTATTCTATTTTTATTATTTTTCTTACCAGTAAGTCCTGTAATAGGTATTTATACCCTTCTTTACAACAATAAGAATAAGCCCTCTTATATTTTTCCACTTTTTTCATGGTTTTAGAGCTTCTGATCCACAAGGGCCTTCAATTAATTGACTTGTGTATCGTATCCGTCGTCGCCTCGAAGTCCTTCGGCACAGACCGGATCAAGATTGACGCAGAGACCCGGAACTCCGCCTTTCTGTTCTTCTACTTTGACGTCTCGAAGTCCTTCAGCGTAGAAACACTGAACTCACAAAGCAACTGTGACCAGAGCTTGAGAGGATCACGTCTCACTGGCAAGGATCGCGCGCGTGGTTGACGAAGTGATTCCTCATCTCGAAGTCCGTTTAGCGGCGAAGGTGGTAACTTTAACTTTTTGCTTCGGCGGGCGAATCTCGGGATCCTGTTGCACGCTTCGTTCTTCATCTCTAAATTGTCTGAAGTCACGTCTAAGATAAACCAATAAACCTAAGGTTAGCCAATGTAGAAATAAAATTGAGGACCACACATACTGTAGAGTAGTTCAGTTTAGAAGCCTAGGATAATATACTAGGTACTCAATAGATAGTACTAAGGACTATGACATATAAAAGAAACAACCTTATCCCCCTAGATTATGTGGATACCCTAGGATGAAGTAACCAATGGTTACTAGCGAAGGTACTCAAACCACTAAATGGTATAAATGTTTATCTTATTCAATGCTAAGATAATAAAGGAGACCTCTTATTATCTAGTTGGTTAATAGTCTAAGGATGCTAATACACCCAGGATGATGGAAAGCAATGTACATATTGACTCAGGCATTACTCCTAATTTTTTTTTTATACCACCCATTTAGCCTCCTTTTTTTTAGAATTAACTGGATTAAGGCTTCACATCCATTTTGAAATCCCTCTAGCATTTTCTATCCCCTGTCTAGAGTACATTCCAAAATTCAAATCAAACTCAATCTAAAATCAAACTTAATCCTATATTAAGCTCAATCACATATGAAACTCAATTTCATATCTATTTAAACACAAATCAAACTCAAATCCAATCCAACGATGATTTCAAGATCAAAGTTAATTCGACTTGCCTATGTCTCAAATTCAAACATAAATTCAACTTACTTGTTGCTCAAGCTCAAACTTTAAATCCAAATTTCGACTCAAATCTAAACCTTAAATCTTTTATCAAATCCTCATTTTAAATCCCTAATTTTCATTCCAAATCTTATAAATTCATGATTAAGAAAAAACAATCCCAAACTTAAAAGCTCAAACCTAAATTCAAAACACATTAATCAAATTTCAACCCACATTAATTGATTTTAATGAAATATAATGAATTTAATTTAACTTATAATAAATCTTAATCAAATTTCAACCAATTTTAACCAATTATATAAAATATAATAAATTTCAATCAAATTTAATAAAAAATAACTAAACCTCATAAACATTAATTAATTTTATAGGGATTTATGGAGAAGTACTGATCGGAAAGAGTAGTGAAGAAGTGTTGTTCGCGTCTTACTTATAGAGACTCTGGGCATAAAAATCCAAAAAGTTTAATTACTAAAGGTACTTATTGCGCAATAAATAAGCTAATTTTTGTCTTTAATTCTTTTATTCTTATCGCAGTTACTACTTTCAAAAAGTAAGGGAATCAGGAAACTAAATATGTGTATAAAAATATGACCGCACGAATCTTAAGGAACACAAGGAGATAAGGCAAATAGCATTTGAAATTTGTGTCAGAAAATTTTAACGCATATATTTGAATCAGATTTTGTGACAGATATACAACAAAAATTGTTTATTTTGTATGCGAAAAAATTTCGTAAGATTAGCGTTTGAATATTTGACACAAAAAACACCAAAATTTTCACTGACGGTGTATGAGCTTTTGAGCCGAATTTGCACCAACAAAATCGATGATAAAGCTTTACTTAATAGCATTAAAAAAATCATCACAAATTTGACGTAAAAGCCAACACATTAGACTTAAGAAACTCATCCCGCGCTCTCCGATTTATTTTCCTCCTTCACGCCTCCTACTCTTCTTCCCTCCCACAGTGCTCCTTGAAACCCTTGCACCTTCTCTGCCTCACCCGAAACCCTCGCACCCTGCCTTTCAAAACTCTCTCTCGACATCCTCACCGAACAACACCGCTCGAGTTTTATGATCGTCATTAGAGCTAGCTGGGACGACAAGGTGCGAACGCATAATCACCAATCAAAACTCACATATTTCTCATCCTTCTTTTCCGCTTCTACTAAAAACATTGAGGAAGGTATGTTTATTTGCACCATTATTTTTTACTTTTTAATTGTGGTTTGTATCTAAGAATTGAGGTTTAGGAGTTAGGTATGTTTATAAATAAGAGTTGAGTGGTATGAATGATAGTCTTGATAAAAATTAAAGCTCAAGTGTTAGCTAACTATATACATAAGTATTGAGCAGTATGTATGAAAATTTATTTCATAGGTAATGTGGTTTGTTTGTAAAAGTTGAAGGTGTTAGGTATATATATATAACATTTTAAAACTTTTTAATGATGTTTCTGAAAATAAGATTGATCTTAATGATTTTAATATCGTTAATTATAATAAAACATTTTATTTTTACTATTATATTAGTAAGAAAAAAGTTAGAGGCTTTAAAAAAAACCAATGGTGGAAAATCAGTATGACCTGATGAAACCCCAATTGAAGTGGGGAAA